ATATTTTTCTTTGTTTTAATATGACTAGAAAATGGAAATTTTATTTTCCCTTTATTTCTAACCATTCTTAGCAATCCACAGTTGTAAAGTTGTTGTTTCTATGTATCCAGATAGCAGTATTAACAGCATGGCTGCTCTGTGAGACGAATGATTCTTCAGTGACTCCTCTTTAAGGTAAACATCATTGTAAAAGGGAGAGAAATCTAATTAAATGAGTAATAGTTTCAAACCTAATGTTCTGTTATATAACAATTTGACAGCATACTTCCACAATATTTATTCCCTCCTCAGTTCTATTTGCAAAGTTTTTTGGTGTTATATGGAGCCCTGGTGCTGCAGTGGTTAAGAACTTGGCTGCTAACCAAAAAGTCGGTAGTTTGAATCTGTCAGCCACTCCCTAGAAACCCTATGGGGCAATTCTATTCTGTCCTATAGGGTTGCTATGAGTTGGGATCAACTCAACGGCAACGGATTTGATTTTTTTGGTATGGTGTTATACAGTGTTGAAGAGTTTAGTAGATATGATAAGCCACCCAATCCCTTTCAGGAATAAAAGATTCCTTACCCCAGCTCCTGGGAGTGGGCCAGCAGACTGCTCTCATCTGTCAGTCCCTTTTGCTGATTGTCACCGCTTCAGAGAGCCACCTTCTCTACAGTCACATCCCCTGTCCCCCATCGACCACATCTAATGACTGGTTAAAGTAGGTGTATAAGGATCCAGCCCTCATTCCTCAAGCAGTGCAATTCTGAAGGGTTATCCTATACATAACTCCCTTCAAGGTTGTCTGAGGCCTCTATTGGGTCTGCATCCCAGGTCAAAATTCTCCCTTTGCCCAATTCCTTCCCCTTTAACAGGTGTTGATCCCAGGAGCACTTCCTAGTAGTAAACATCCAACAAGGAGCTTCGATCTCAGTCCTTATTAGTCCACAGAGACAAGAAGCAGGAAATTTTGTCATTCTAAAGAACAAGGCCTGAAGGTATTGTGCAGGTGATCTACTATCAGCAGGAAAAGGTGACATCAGGGATGCAAAATAAAACCTGAGGGCCTAACTGTAGTGTCTCAGTCATCTAGTGCTGCTCTAACAGAAGTACCACAAGTGGATGGTTTTAACAGAGAGAAATTTATCATCTTCACAGTCCAGTAGGCTACAAGTCCAAATTCAGGGCATCAGCTCCAAGAGAAGGCTCTCTCTCTCTGTTGGCTCTGGAGAAAGGTCCTTGTGATGCCTCAGTCTTTCCTTGGTCTGGGAGCATCTCAGCACAGGAACCTCAGGTCCAAAGGATGCACTCTGCTCCCAGCACTGCTTTCTTGGTGGTGTGAGGTTCCCATGTGTCTCTGCTCGCTTCTCTCTTTTATATCTCAAAAGAGATTGCATTAAGACACTAATCTTGTCAACCTCATCAGTATAACCTCATCACAATGATAGAATTTCAACACATGAGGAGATCACATATAATTTCATCATAGTGGTAGAGTTTACAACACATAAGGACATCACATCAGATAACACAATCATACAATACTGGGAATATGACCTAGTCAAGTTGCTACACACATTTTTGGGGGGACACAATTCAATCCATGACATGTAGTTACATGTGTGACTCAAGTTTTTGTTTGGTAGCAGCTGTAACACATAGGGTTGCCATGACTAGGACTCAACTCAACAGCAGCTAACAACAACAACAGCAGTGAAAGTGAAGAACTACTCCATATGCTATTCATTCTCTCTTCTCTTCTTCCTCTGTCCTCTCTCCTTCATCTCCATTCTTTCTCCCACTCCCCACCTCCATCTGCCATCAATGCACAAACTCGATGTGATCCGAGTAGCACAGCAAAGCTCCTGTGGTCTACATATTCTTCCACTGCTAACACATCTTTCTCTGCTCTATGCACAGAATACTACCACGGAAGCCATTCTTTTGGATAATTCAACAGTCAGAAGCACAAAACTCCTATAAAGATATATGCATGTTACATGGGAAAGAAGAAAGGCTTTGAGAGTCTTCTAGCTTTGCCTATTTGCAAGGACTCTTTCTTTATTTCTCTCTCTGTCTTTTTTTCTCCCCCTCAGGAAAACATCACTATGGAACAGAGCAAACTTGGCTGAGAGGAGATGGCAGACAGGTCTGGCAATTTTCAGGGTAGCTGCTCAGCAAATAACAGGTGGATGAATGGATTGATCACTCTTGAACATGGACCCTCAGCTCCAGCCAGGTGAGTGGGCTCCTCTTATCTCCTGAATTGCCCACACCGCCTCTCCTGTTCACATCCCACCAACCAGCCAGCCCATTCAAGCCCTCCTTTCCCTTCCTAATAATCAGCAAAATTCATGGAATCCCAATCTCCCAAAGCACATTTATACTTATTCACACACTATCTATCTTTGAATGTCACCCAAATCATCATGCATTACAAATGCCATGTCACTCAGCTAAACTCTAAGTCCCTGCAAAAACCAAAAAAAAAAAAAACAACCATTGCTGTTGAGTTGGTTCCGACTCATTAGATCCCTATAGGACAGAGTAGCACTGCCCCCTGAGGTTTCCAAAGAGTGGCTGGTAGATTCAAACTGCCAACCTTTTGGTTAGCAGAGGAGCTCTTAACCACTCTACCACCAGCGCTCCAAGTCTCTCCAAGGAATATGTATTTTTAATCTTTACATCTTCCCTTTATGATTCCTTTCAGAGCAATTTACACTGAAGGCCTTCAAGAAATATATAACTACTTCGGAACTGTTCTTCCAGAATTTGAATAATGTACTTCAAGGATCTAAAACCTGAATCTAAGACATCTAAACTCCCTCTTAAGGAAATGGTCTCAGTTGCAGGGAGAACATCCCTGCCTATCACCTCATCTCTATAGTTTTTATGTTTGTTTAAATGACTGTAGTGATTTTGGTCACAATCGTAAGAGCATTTTTTTTTTCAGACATGACACATTTTTCCCCATTTGGAGTGTAATTGATACCATCAATCAACTTTTCCTGAATGAATAACCATAGTCTCCATTTCTAAGTTTCATTTTTATGAATAAATTCCTGCACTACAGCCCATTTATTGGAAATCACAAGATAAATACATAGTAAGTAGAACCTTAAGAGCAAATGCATTTATACCATCCCTCCCTCCTCCATTAAGAATGCTGCTGGCCTGTGCCTACTTGAGGAAAGGGAAGTCAGAAACCCTAAAAAGGAAAAGGGTAAGTGGGGAGGATGCAAGAATTCAGTTCTGCCAAGCTCCATATAGCACAACATATGTTTCCTTATATTCTGGCCTCTCTCTTGTCAACTGTCTAAAACACAACACTAGACAGAGGGGTGACCCCGAGTCCCAAAGTGGCAATGCGGCCTAACAGGTTTTTCTGTCAGGTCTGATGAACCAGCGGCAACTGCAGGCTGAGGATCTCTCCAGAGGGGTGTTTTCTAGACGAACTTGTTAAATTTCATTTCCAGCCCCAAACCAGGAAGTGCTGTTTAAGGTGAGCTAAAGACAAAAGCAATCCAGCCTCAGGAACAAAACTAGCCAGACTCCAGAGAGACTAGGAGTTTCTGTTTGAGCCTGTTCTCTGGTTTGGATTGTAACCTACGATCTTCTTCCCATAAAACAATAGTGAGCTTTTCTAGATCGCCAAATACAAAGTAAAATGACAAAAAAAGACACAGTCGGGCTCTCTCTGTCTCTCTCTGTCTCTCTCTGTCTCTCTCTCCTCTCTCTGTCTCTCTGTCTCTCCTCTCTCTCTCTTGCGCGCGCGCGCGCACACACACACACACACACACACACACACACTCGCAAACCTATTTGTTTTTGTTATCAGCTTCCTTATTTAGACAGTCCAGGCTTGGGCCAGATTTGAGTTGGTAGATTCTTCTCTCAGATAACCTAAAACAGAGCCCATTGCAGAAAAGATGTCTAATTCTCGAGATTCTTAGGGAGGAAGAGGGTCAACGCGTAGAAGAGCCACGCCCGGGTCCCGCTCTCCTGTTGCACAACCGCTAGATAAGTCTGGGCAAGTCAAAGAAGGAACCCCGCAACCTCCAGCCCCCCCCCC